CCATTGCCATCAGGTCAGGAGGGGCTGGTCCATTTTTGGCTTTGTAGGCAAGCATAAGGGTTTTAAATCTGATGCGTGCAGCTACAGGAAGCCAGTGAAGGGAGCGCAGCAGTGGGGTGACGTGGCTGAACTTTGGGAGATTGAAGACGAGTCGTGCTGCTGCATTCTGGATGAGTTGCAGAGGCCTGATGGCCTGCATTGGAAGACCAGCCAAGAGCGAGTTGCAGGAGTCAAGCCTTGAGATGACAACAGAGTCCATTATCACCTGGGTGGCCTCTCGAGTGAGAAAGGGTCGGATCGTCCAGATGTTGTACAGGAGAAATCTGCATGACCGAGTCAGGTTCGTGATGTGACTCAAGAACGATAACTGGCCATCCAGAACCACACCAAGACCTTGCCTCTACAGACGGGACAATCAGAGAGTTCTCGATTGAGATGGCAAGATCATGATGAGGACCTGTAGTTGCAGGGAAGCTGTGGAGTCCTTCCCCAACTACCTTTTCACTCAGTCACTTTGTCAGTATTATTATTATATCATATCACTGCTATGAACAATAACACTGTCACTTTAAAATGTATATATTCTTCACAGATTATCCCTTGTTTAATATAAATATATTTGTACATAGCAGAGAGAATTTTTAGAATTTTTGTTTTCCTTACATAGGTCCCTCCTCTCTCTATATTGTGTGTATATTTAGTGTATATTTAATATATATATATATATATATATATATATATATATATATATATATATATGTGTGTATATATATATATATATATAGATATATGTCAGTTTCAGTATTTTCTTGTATTTTTATTTTTACTTTGTTCACTTTCTGCAGAGTGATTATCTGAGCCTCACCACAAGCATTTCAATATATGAATGTCCTGACATGTTGTGCAAATGACAAATAAACTTGAAACTTGCTCAGTGGTCAACTGTTGTCACCTTTACTGCAAGAAACAAAAAAGGAATAGATATTCTCCTGTCAGAACAATGTCCAACAATAATATATCCCATGTCCACTGTATTAAATGTCTTGATGTAGTTTTTTATGAGAAACGCAGCTGAAAAGATCACATTGCAGTAACATTACAAAAAAAAGCTAAAAATAGCGGTGTTATTAGAAAAATTAAATCTATATTACATCAGCATTGTCACACCTTGCTTGCAGGTGAGGGTAGATATGCTCCAACAAGGTTGTGGGTTGTAAGAAAGAGCGATGGCAAACCACAATAGCACATCCACAGCAAGGGTGTTTAGTTGGTGAAAGGTGTGGGGAAAAAAACCAAAATGTTGACAAAAAAGAACAAAACAAACAAAAAAACTATTTACAGAATATATTTTTAAACTTTGAGGAAGCAACAATTTCCCTCAAACTACGTTGGCAGAACAACCAACCAACCATATCCTCTCTCTCTACAGAAATGCAGTGAGCTCTTTCAATAGACTCCCACTGGTCTACCCTACCATACCAATCCTTCTCCTCTGCAGGGGGAGACAGTAATGACCATCAATAATAACTTATAAAGTAAATGAAGAATCCAACAAAAGCTTGTTCACAAATGGATACTTGAATCAGAAGCTAAAAACCCACAGAATGAACAAGATAAAATTTAAAAAATATATATTTCATATATAACTATATGAACCCCATAACCCCCCCTCCAAATGGATCACTGCAACAGGGTTCTACTAAGCATGTCAGAATTTGCCCAAGCATTATTTAAGGACAGCTAAAACCAAGCTTGGGCCTTTTTCTCAGACCAGGAAGTATTGAAGCTTATGTAAGTATTGTATGTTATAAACCTGCTGCTAGAATAAAGATGTAAAAGGTGATATTATGTACCAAACTAGCAAAAGTTGATATTGCAATAAGAGAGTAAACGGCAGCATTAGCTGATAAAAATGGTGAGGGAAAGTGTATGAACTACTGTAAGGCTAGAGCAGGGAAAGAACGGGACTGAAATAAGGTGGAATATGAAATGAAAAAAGTTAAACCAGGGAAACTAGTATTATACAATGATCTATCCATACCTGTCATACTATTCATTATCTGGGCACGTATCAAAATCTCAGACACTTACATATACTTCAAAAGTGATATGTCAGAATGATGGCATTTTCTTCATATTATGCTTGTTCTTGCTCCCTGTTTTTGAACTTGATTTTGATTCTAAATATGTATTAAATTAACCTTTTTCAAATCGGCCAAATTGTTCTTCATTCTAAAAAACTTCCTTTCAGACTGTTTCAAAAATATTTTTCAATATAACTCCAAAAAAATCCATCACTATTCCATCATATTTTCCAACAACATACATCCTGCTTTCTTCAGAACTTCACTAAGCCAACATACAGTTTCATACAGAGGACCTTGTATCTGGAACTGTCTTTCACCCAAGTTGAGAACTTGTAACAGTCTGAATTCCTTCAAAATACTAGCTAAATCCTAATTCACAATAATCTTTTTTTGAACGTTATTCTAATTAATGTTACCCCAACTACACTCTGTCTATTTTGGCTTATGATGTTCTTTATTTTTTTACATCCTTTTTTTCACATTTCATTCTATCTGTTTAACCGCAAAATGTATCTCTTCGTAAATTAATCTAATTGCGAAATTGCCTAGTACAAGCCCTTAATGCTTTTTTTGTAATTTCCCTGTTTTGTTCATTGTTTTATCATAACTATTTTATTCAAATATTCACTATGATTGATCTATTGTGCATGAAATAAAAATAAAATGGGAGATGGAGATAAAAACAAGTAATTAATGTTTTTTTTTTTTTTAATCTCCAACATGCTGTAGTTCAAATGCAGCCATCCTTGCAGAAACTGAAGGATGACATCACACTACAAATATGACAGACAGAGGATATACAACTCTGTTTATTAAAGATTGGGTATTTTAATAACATACAGGAAAATACCAGGTAGATAATTGATAAATGTGAATATAAACATACTTAACATTAAATGTAATTTATAAACATTTTAAAATTTTAATGAACTAATGAATTGTTTTTTAGATTTCCAACATTCATGTCAGGAGCTCAGTGGAGTCTCTGTGCCCTCTTGTGGCTGTGTTTGGAGTTGCATGCCACGATTTACGTACTAAACAGGAAGAGAAACATTCACTTTCAAGCTATTTACATAGAATCTGAGTATATGTACTGAGTAAAATAATATATTTAATCCAGTAAAATAAATAAAGGTAACAAATGAAAGAAGAAATAAATAAACAAAAATTAGACATCTGTACATTAGACATCTCTTCAGTTTGAATTTGTATTGTGCTCTTTATTTTACTACCAATTCAGAATCAGAATCTCTTTAGTCCACTGTAAGTTTTAGGTAAAAAATTTTTACCTAAAATAAATCATCACACGGAACAAACGTAAAGTACCCTGACTTACTGACAGTTATTGAAGAAACAGAATAAACCTAATCACAGTATAGACATAAGAGACAGTCGGGTTGAATTTGGCACTTTCTGTGAATAGAGTTCACTTTAGACCTCAAACCTCTTTGAAAATGTACTTTTTACTTTGGTGTTTTTGGCAGAGTTTTAATCAAAGTAAGTGCTTAATCTTCAGAAAATGTTATTTTCCACCTCAGGCTGTTAAATCAGAGATGTAACCCTGTTATAAAATTTCAGGAAGATGTATAAATGATAAAAGTATAAAAGTAAATTCAATTAATTGTTTTCTAGCAAGAAATACAAATTCATTAAATGCTTTCAGAACTTTTCAAATAAATAATAAAAATCCCAAAGTTCTCTTTCGTTTTCAGTGTTTTTTTTTTAAATACGCAAACAGTGATCGATTTCTTCTGTTATTAATTCAAACTAATGACTCTCATTACCAAATTGACACTTCTGGTATCATAAACTAAAAAAAATAAATGCTTCAGGACTATTTTTATCAAAAATGACCAAATAACAGTGCTGAAGCCTGGCTAATAGGGTTGAAGCAAGTGACAGGAATATTATTGCAGTAAAAACATATTAAGTATATAAAATACAGCAGACGGGAATGTTGAAAATTGCTTTATTCGTTCTTACTGAAAATTTTGTTTCAAGTCGTTTTCTTTTCAGTTTCATTTAAAAGAAGGTTAATACTGGGTAACAGTGAAATTAGCAGTTAGCTTAGGCTAATAACCATATAGTTTATATAAATAAACAATAAATACATAATCTTTTATCAACAACAACCTTGGTGTCAGGGTTGAATGATCAACCTTTACTCATGCAGCCTAATAGGTTTTTGTGTGTAAATTGAGAAAATATAATGAGAATACTGACCTGTCTGGTCACTGAAGAGAACAACAAGATGATAACATTCCTATTTATATTATAATAAATAGATAATGTTCCATTTTTTTTGTAGGGGAACAGGTTTGGTTCACAGAGTTGTGCATAAAATGTGAAATAAAGGTTAAAATGACATTTTTGTTTAATTAATTAAACTTATAGAAAATGGAAATGAGAAAATAATTCTTTATACATTATTGTTTATAAATGAATTAAATAACATTGTAATTATGGTGTCAGTGGCAATAATGAATATGTTTCATAGGGAAGTTCAGTGTCAGTGAGGTGGGACAGCCCAAAATCACCACATTAATACAGACATTTGAAGAGTTTTGTGATAAATGCTAGTTTTAATAATTTTATTTTAAGCTAAAATGCAGATCCTTCGCTGTTTACAGACATAAAAACAACAGTCACCTATAATCATACAAACTGTCCCCCAACAGTGTCTGATAATCTGCTGACAAAATTCCGACCAATGTCCTGTAGTTGTTTATATTATAATTTATTTATTGAATGAGCTCCGTCATCCTTATTCCACTATTTTTTGTCATGTTTGTGTAAATTCATAACTGCTGCAGTAAATAAACGGGCTGCTTCTCTTTCAACTTCTAGCCAATCGGAGCGCAGGAGGCGGGGTTTATCGGAATACGGGTGGGATTAGAAAAATAACGCCCCCCATATCCACAGTGATGACGTCAATTGGGGGCGCTAAAACGGTGGCTCTCCAAAAATAAAAAGCGGAGAAGAAGGAGAGCGCTGCGGTATCAGAGAGAAACAGGAGCGGATCTGCTGAAGGTAAAGAGCTGTTTATCACTGTGTAACCCAGCTGTAGCTCAATCAGCCTTAGCGTGTTTACTGAATAGGCGCTGTCTCGTAATGAATTTGCGGCAGTTTCTGGTTATAACAGCTGCTTTAAGACTAACACAGAGAGCTTCCATAGAAACGTACGGGCAGGACAGCACGCGGTTGAGGTTGGTTTTAGAGACGCGATGCGTCTTTTTCTTTTTCCACCTTCTTGCAGTAAGCCTCAAATGACTTTTTTTTCTTTACATGGAAATTTTAAAGTGTGGACATTTTGAACTTTAGTAATAATCTAATAGCAGCTGTTCTGAAAATAAGCTAAAGGTCTCAGTGTTATGGTGCTGGTAGAGGGTGGGGGAGGGGCTCACAGGTCCTTTAGAGGTGAAAACTGACAGAGATACGGTGTGAAGAGATTCCCTGAGCGTAGTTCACACGTCTTTCATATTCCTGAAAGGTGAATTCATTATGAGAACATTATACCTTCATTTCTTATTTTATTTTACAACCCCATTTCCAAAAAAAGTTGGGACGCTGCGTAAAATGTAAATAAAAACAAAATACAATGATGTGCAAGTCATTTAGACTACACTTACTTGATAATACTACAAAACAGTATATGGAATGTTGAAAGTAAGAAATTGTATTGCATTTGTATTGTATTTTTGAAAAATATATGCCCATTTTGAACAACACGTTCCAGTGAAGTTGGGACAGGGCCATTGGTAAAAGATTGGTAAAGTTATTGGAAAACTCTATGTAAGGAACAAGGCCAAAAAACAATAAAAAAAAACCCAATAATTTCTCAGTTTTAACATTTTATATGTTGTCTTTGTAGTATTTTCCTTAAAAATATATGGTTTGCATATAATTTGTAAGTCACGTTATTTGCATTCTATTTTTATTTACATGGTGAACTTGTATTTTGCATGGCGTCCCTACTTTTTTTGGAAATAGGGTTGTATTTCCTATACTCACATGTCACTCTAATTGCTATTACAGCAGAATTACCTGAAATCCTTCAAAATTTCAGGTAATTTTCCTCTCAGAACACTTAACGCTGGGCTACATTTACAATGTGTGTATAACTCACTCCTCCAGAAATATAGAGAGAGAAACAAACTTTAGATTCTATACTGATTTTCTGTTAAGTTTCTCAGTAATGAAGTAATTATTGAGTTGATAAATTCATGCTTATATTCATGTTTATTTTAAAGCTACTGCATTTCTGTTAGGCTCGTTTTACTTCTTGAGTTATTTCATTTATGTGAATGCTTTTAGGTGCCTGTGTGTGGGTCTTCTGGTTTATTTTGGGTGGTTGTGCTACTGGTTTAGTTTGGGTAGGGACTGTGGTTTAGTTTGGGTGGGGTTGCTGCTGGTTTAGTTTGGGTGATGGGCTGCTGCTTTAGTTTGGGTGGGGAGGCCTTTTCCCCCCTGTTCTTTAAGCTTATTGAACTCAAGCAGTATTACCACTTTTAACGCCTCTTTTAGAATCAGAATCTTTCCTGGCCAAGTACAGGATGTGTAAGTAGAGCTGGGCGATAAGGCAAAAAATGTTATAACGTTAAACAAAATTCATATAATTCGATATCGATACATATCGCGATAAAGTTGAAGGCAGATTTTTACTCCTGGGTGATTAATTGTTGTTTTAAACTATCCTTTATGGTCTGAACATGACAAACCCTCGACAAACAGTGGAACATTTCACAAATCTGTCATGGGAGAGTGGGAGAAAGTGTCTGGTGAGCTGTTTTTATCTGCTGGAAAAGCACGACCGCAGTTTTTGTAATAGTCATAATTTAAGAAGGAAGATTATTTTGATCTGTCTGGTGACGAGCGCTCGGCTATCCCGTTACAAATGCTAAACAAGCGGCCAACAACAGAGCTAAACTGTTTAGCCAGATTTTCATTTAAACTCTCTTGGTATTTTATAGAGTCTATAAGGCAGTGTCACCTAACAGGGTCCCTTGGGCCATTGGAGGAATGAAAACCCTCAAACCATCACAGATCCTACAATGTACTGAACTGAGGTGTGGCTGTACTTACCATGAGGTTGTTTTCTTTCATGTAGGTTCGCTACAGCTCTGGCTGTTTTAAACTACTTGATTATGGTCCTAACCGTTTGCTAAAGGCATTTTACATCAGACCAAACAGCCTCAGAAATACTGACATTTATATTGAGAATACACAGTAGTTTAAGTTACACAAACCAGTCTATGCTCGACCAGGATTGCGTTTGGTCTGATACCTTTTCTCAGAGGCCATTTGGTCTGATGTTCAGTTTCACCAGATCTGAGTCATGACGATGGTTTTTCTCGAGACCCGAAGTCGTTTAGCTTGAGGAATGATCCCGTTCTGACTCTGAGGTCTGAGGATGTCCTAAAATGTAGCCCCACCTAGTGCTAATTAACATATATTTGCATGTTGGTCAACTTGAAAACGAAAAGCAAAGTGACAAATGAAAAGTAAATCACTAGCAGGTGGCGTCGATGTTCGTTTGCATTAGTCTTTTCATTCTGACACTTAAAGTGCATCCACGCTGAAAATTGAATCACAAACTGTCACTTTGCTGTTGATTTTATCCATTTTGCATTTCCATTTTGTTAGATATGCAGCCTATTGCTAAAAAAGAAATAAGAACATACACTTTGCATTTTGATTTTAGTTTATACACACATACATATATACATATTCTGTATTTCATGAAGAAAAGCCAAAGCCAAAGTGAAGCTTGGATTTTCTTTTTCTATTCGCTTTTTCATTTTAGATATGATCATGAAATACCAGAATAATGACTAAAATGAAATGACAAATAGCAGTTTTAGTTTAATTTTTTTTTGTCACAAATGGCTCGTGCTCATGTGAAAAACGAAATTGCAAATGTAGGTATTTAATTTCATTTTCAATTTTGCCAGGATATTTGTGCAAATGTTTGAAAAATTAAATGGCAAAAAGAGGTTTGCGTTTACGTTTTATTGTTGTATTTCTTTTTTTGGCCGGATTTGCCTCCCATAGACGTAAAGACAACGATGCAATGTTTACAAATGTAAATGTTATCTGGAAAGTGAACAGGGTCGCTGTGAATAATAGCTACTAGCTTCTCTGTTCCAGCTCCTTTAACGAATCAAGAGAATGTGCATTTCAAAAACACAAATGTTACGGCTCAGCTCAGAACATGAAGTAGGATGGAATTTAACACTTAACATTAGCTAACTAACTTGCTAGCAAAACTTTTGCAACATCCCAAACCACACACTTCTGCACTTCACATACTACATTAATGAGTGCACTTCTAATGGTATATACACTATTTTTACACACTATTTAGTGTGCTAGTATGCAGTTTGGCACGTGGCTTATCTTACCAAGATGAATCTTCTTCATCCAGTGAGCCAACAAGTTTCCTCTTCAGATGCTCCAGCATGGAGGATGTGCTCTCATGCCAGCTAAGGTGGACTTTATGAATAGCACAACTGAGAACCTTTTTTTCTGAGTTTAGCTCCTGCACTTTTGAGGATTTTGTTTTTGAGGCAGCCATCACACTGTTGTTAACTCTCCAGCGGTAATGTAAAAAGGTTCCTAGTGAGCGTGAGGAAGACGTGTAATGATGTTACAGAGCAATCGACTACTAAATTACTTGCCAACTAATTTGGTCATCGATTTTAGTTGAATAATGTGAGATTGAGCTAATTAACCACATTATTTTTCATGATAAGTTTGACTCCAGGTGTTAGCTCCCCAAATTCCTTACTTCATCTTCTTATGTGAACTCGTCTTTGTTTTGAGATGAGACCAGCTAAGAGTGGAGAGTGTCAGTTAAGGTTTTAATGCACTGTAGTATGAGTGTCTGAAACACTTCATGACTACAGAGTTCAAGGAAGCTGGTCTGTAGACAACCAGACTGGAGATGATCTGTTTTCTAGGGACCGGTATGATGACAGAGGTGTTGAAAAAGTCAAGTGCACAGCAAATACTACTCATTTATTTAGGCATCCATTCATTTAATATGAACAAGTTAATAAGCTGGTGTGTTGTTAAGAACCTGACAATCCCAGCCCTGTGGAGAACAACCTATCATCTTTCAAGATCAGCCTGACTTAATACATGATCATGAGGCCATCCTGTTTCTCAGCCCTTAAAGTAGATTTATACTTTTGTACATGTACATTATTGTTTTAGCTGGTGTGTTTTATGTATTTTCTTCAAGGAAGGAATAAATAAATCGTTTTAGTACTCTTACTGTTAAACCAGTGTGCATACTGTTAGTCTTACTTACTATATTCTTTTCTTTCCTTTATAACATTTATTACTGGAAACAATAATGTACAAATTAGAAGATGAGTGGAGTTGAGAAGCTTGTTCAGGTGCACTGAATAATTTGACAATTTGTTATTAATTAACGATCAGTCTCACTTCAAAGTTTGTGTATTGTATATATTATATACAGTATATTTAATGTATATTATATATTTAAGCATACACTCATTTTTAACTTAAAAAATAACTTTTCTTAAAAACATACTCAGATTGAAATTCAAGTTTGTCATAAATAGCCACAGGTGGGGGGTTATCTTGAGTAAGTTTTTCAGATTGTTTTGGGAGCTGCAGTATTTGATACTTTGAGTTGTGGTTAGTAAAGGTTGGGAGTCGCCTCCAAATGGGGGAACATTTCATTTGAGGACAGTTGCTGTATCTCTGTATTTGTATTAGGCAGTTTTGACTGCCTTGATCAGTGGAAACTTAGACCATTTGTCATCTACATTTGAATATGCCTTCTGTGCTCTGACCACTAATATAGATTTCTCTTTGGCTGTTTAGACCAAGGTCAGTGCAGTATGTGTTATTTTCTCAATTGCATCAAATTGTTTCTTTAAATTTTGGCTCTGAATGAGGACCTGAAGAATTTAATAATTTGTTTTCATTGCTGTCGATACTCTGCACTTTGCAGTCCTGGCCATCTCTCTGTAAATCTGATTAGGAAAAGAGTTCATCACTCTGCTTGTCTCTGTTAGTTTGTGGGTAATGTGGTCCATGAAGTAATAAGATTTCAACTGCATGCACACACAAGTCAATGGCACATGTGTGGAATAGCAGTCTACAGTGAGAAGATACATTGTCTTCTTCAGTTTAAAAATGTCTGTGGCTGTCATTTGCAGTAAAAAGCTTATAACTTATGCTGTTACCTCTGTAAAAAAAATGTTTTGGAGACAAACATGTCCATTTTTTCCTGATCTACTATACTTTCTGATTAACCAGTGTGTTTTTTTTACCCTTGTTCTCCTCCAGAATGATCTCCTGCTCCGGATGACCAAGTGCCTTCCTGCACATATCTAAGTAACATCCACAAACACATGAAGAGGCTGCTAAACTTAATTAAGGCTGAATGTGAGAATATGATGTCCAGGAGCTCCAGCATTCAGAAAACTTCCTCTGCTGCTCTTCACATGAACTCACCTTGCAAACCAACACAAAAGATTACAGGCAAAAAAAGAGCTCACTACTGCTCAGAGTGTGGGAAAAGTTTTACAACACAGGGTAGTCTCAAAACACACCAGCGCATTCACACAGGAGAGAAACCGTATCACTGCTCAGACTGTGGAAAGAGTTTTACCTTATTGAATCATCTCAGAACACACCAGCGCATTCACACAGGAGAGAAACCGTATCACTGTTTAGAGTGTGGGAAGAGTTTCACAGAAGGTGGTACCCTCAAGAAACACCAACGCATTCACACAGGAGAGAAACCGTATCACTGCTCCGAGTGTGGGAAGAGATTTAGTCAACAGAGTCATCTCCAATCACACCAGCGCATTCACACAAGAGAGAAACCGTATTACTGTTCCGAGTGTGGGAAGAGTTTTGCTATACAGAGTAATCTCCGAAAACACCAGCGCATTCACACAGGAGAAAAACCGTATTACTGCTCAGAGTGTGGGAAGAGTTTTACTACGCAGAATCATCTCCAAATACACCAGCGCATTCACACAGGAGAGAAACCTTATCACTGCACAGACTGTGGACAGAATTTTAGAGAAAGTAGTGACCTCAGAAAACACCAGCGCATTCACACAGGAGAAAAACCGTATTACTGTTCAGAGTGTGGGAAGAGTTTTGCTGTACAAAGTAGTCTCCAAATACATCAGCGCATTCACACAGGAGAGAAACCGTATCAGTGCTCAGATTGTGGGAAGAGTTTTACTGTACAGAGTAATCTTCAAAGACACCAGCGCATTCACACAGGAGAGAAACCGTATTACTGCTTTGAATGTGGGAAGAGTTTTAGAGAAAGTGGTGCCCTCAAGAGTCACCAGCGGATTCACACCTGAAAGAAACTGCATCATTGCTCAGTGTGGGAGGAGCTTCAGACTTTCAAATTTTAAGACACATGCATGATTCGATGTTTCAAAGTCCTCTTATGATTAAGGGACACAACAGACTGTGTACTCTGCCTGGGAAATGGGTTACATGGACCTACCTCCGGAGCCAGGACTAGGGTTAGTACTTCTTGGCAAGCACCTGGTTGCAGGGGAGCCCACGTCACCTGGCCGGGCTCAGCCCAAAAATGCAACGTGGGGGGGACCAAGTGGGCCCACCACCCACAAGATCCAGCATGGGGGACCAGTGCAGTGCCATATAGGTGGTGGGAGGTGGCAAGGAGGACCTTGGCGGCACAGACTCCTGCACTGGAAACTGGCTCTTGGCATGTGCAATGTAACCTCACGGGGGGAAGGAGCCAGAGCTTGTGCAGAAGGTTGAGAGGTACCAAGTAGATATCGCTGGGCTCATCTCCACCCACAATGCCTGCTCTGGAACCAAACTCCTTGATAAGGGAGTTTGCACAAAGTAGCACAGGAGTAGCACAGAGTGAGAGGCAGTGGGTGGGTGTGGGGATACTCACAAGTCCCCAGCTGGCTGATGTACAGTTCGAAATTGCCCTGATGGACGAGAGGGTCGCCTCAATAAAAAATTAACATCGCAAGGAGGAAAACTCTTGACTGGGTGTGCCTAGGCACCAAACAACAGTTCAGAGTATTCAACCTTCTTGGAGCGAGTGGGTGGGCTCTGGAAAGGGCCCCACCTACAGACTCCATAGTCTTGCTGGGAGACTTCAGTGCTCATGTTTGCAATGACTGGGAAACCTGGAGAGGGTGATTGGGAATGCCTGCTCTAAACTTAAATGGTGAATTGTTATTGGACTTCTGTGTTAGTCATGGATTGAGTTGAGTTATGCTGTTCTCACTGAATAGAAGAAAACATGGTTTAGTATTTTGGTCAGGCTTCAGTTGTAGAAGAGATTATCAAGGTCTTATTGTCTGACTATGTATTGATGTATAACATATTCGCAGTATATATTTTCTGAGCTTTATTCCTGCAGTTTCTTTTTTTATAAATATTACTAGGCATGTGTTTTTCAACTTAATATCTGCCTCATAAATTGTTGCATCATGCAGAATCAAGAATAATTTTAATGAACTTGCACTGTTCATTTTCTTTGCACACCTCAGTGTCATTTTTGTTTTGGTTTACCTTTGCTGCATTAAATTAAACCCAAATAAGACCACAAAAAGCCACAGTAGATGATGTGGACCTTTTCACATTTTGTGACTAGTTAGAAGACACCAAAACATTCATAAAATGTTCTATTTTGACATTCTGATTTTTTTTATTTGGATTTGGATCACCTTCAGTTGAGAGTACAATGAGCACCATCTTTGCTGCCACTTGTCTTTGTTTCTATAAAGCTATCTGTCCAGGCAGGTTGGAATTCCACTAGTTTATTCAGGCACCATTTACACTCTAGTTGTCAGTTTTAAAACTTGAGCATGACCCATTGTACCATGTGGCAAGCTTTCACTGCCCTATCCAGTGTTGGTTTTTTTGTTTGTTATACTGTCTTTCTCTGTTCGGATTTCCCAGTGTTTGAGTCTTTGGATTACTGGCTCATGGATTTTGCAGAACATGCTTGTTGATGGATGCACATACCTCTGCAATTTGAGTGTTTTTATTCAGGTCACATGGCCACAAATCAGATATGTATCTGATCCAGAATTAAAAAAAACTTCCAAAGGCTGACACTATTGATTAGGCCTCTGTCATCAACCCAAGAACAACCTTAAATGTAAATACAAAGTTTTTCCTGCTTATTCTATCCAAGGTTGGCATGGTGATTTGTTCTGAGCTGCTGTGACACCATATATATTACTCATACGTTCAGAGGGAACTTTTTCTGTTCTTTCTTGTGTGTGCAAGGAATGTGCTGGATTGTAACAAATCAGCTACTCCTTACACATTAGGCCTAGGTTTGATCTTTATTTCCTCAAGAGATTTATTATGTGCATATATTAACACTTTTGGTTAGTTATGTCACAGTTATGTGCAACCAATGTTTTGTACCTTCTTCATTCTTTTGCCCAATGATATGTAACTCCACTTTTGGGGACTGTATAACCTCATGTAAATTTGGCCTTTCTGGGTTCTTACTTTGAGCTTCTTCCCAGCTGTGAGTTTCAATAAACATATTACTTTGATGATTTAATTGTTGCTCTGTGATATGCTGTTAGCTTTATTAGAGATGGCCACCACAATGTATATTCTACATTGTTTTTGTCTTATTATTTTAATTAAATATTGTAAGTTAGTAATTATGCATGTACCTTGTAGCAGAAATTCAAATAGACTAAGACAATTACTATGAATAAGACTATTACTATAAAATTTTCCTTCAGATGGAAAAAAAAACTTCTATAATTCTGTTTCCATGGCATAGTCTTTTTAGTGTTAACCATCAAGTATACCCCAAATATTTCTATAATAAATTGATTTCTGTTGTTGCATACTGTCTTCTTAGTGTTAACTGGCAAGTGAGTCTATTCATTCTGCTCTATGGAGAAGAAGGTCAGGTGTGCTACACTGACCACATTTAAGAGGCTCCTGCAAAGGACAGAAAAAAGGCCAGAAAGCCCAACACTCGTGTAGAATATTTATCAGTATTTCTCTTGCCACTACCATTGCAGTCCCAACAGGCTTCAGAAGGCAGGGGGCACTCATGTCATGCAGACTTGGTTTTGAATATAAGTCACAGGCACACAGCTCATAAGAAACAAACGGAGCGAGAGCAATAAAAACACAGTCAATAATAGCAAAATGGTAAAAATGCTAAAAACCATAGCAAAATAAAACAGCAATCAGGTACGTATTGAAATGTCTTGCATTGCACTGTTTCTAATTATGTATCATTTTTCTAGGTATCAACACAGGATTTTGTTTCTAGCAGTATTCTGAGCTCAGGGGTAGTTTGTACTCTAACCTATTTGTACAGATAAATTCTCTGAGTAGACAAAAAAGCTGTTTGGATAAGAGCATCTGCTAAACGCTGTAAATATAAAAGACTAAAATACTAGAAAAGCAAACATAGATGAATAAGAAAAATAAGAGAAAATATAAAACAGAAACTGATAATGGGTATAATCAGAGTTGTCCCTTTAAAAAAGAAACAAGCACATTAATTGCCATTGTGGAAAACACAATGTAATACCACGCCACAGTTTACAGTATCAGATCCAACAAGCAAAATTCAATGTAATGAATGAAGGACTCTCTAAATGACATTCTTTAATAATAATAAACAAACACTTCTCATTGCTTATAATCACCACTAAAATGAAGCACAGGTAAAAGACTGCTAAATAATATTCTAGGAATACTCTTTTTATTTTTAGTGAGAAGAGAGAAGTTGAGTGTACTGCAGTAAGTGCCCTTCTGTATTCTATAAAGCTATCCAGTCATAATATCTAATTAAGTAGGTTGGACAGCTGGTAGCTCTGGGAAGTTTTCAATAAAGCTACTAGCTATGGAGCATGTTATTTTAAACTTCACACGATAGGGTTGAGATTAAGATAAATTGTGACTAAAGTGAATTTTCATAGATTTTCATATGAAATTAGGTCATGATATAAGACTGCTGTGCTCTGGGGATGAATGGCTAATTGATCTGTGCTTGCACCAAAGATTATAATGAAGTCAAGAATGTGTGAATTGCATATTGATTGAAGAGGAGTGATGGTTAGATAAGTAGAACAAACTTTTCGATGTTTCTGTAATTTTCTTTAATTTGGGGAACATTTCAGTTGAGTGGAATAAATGCAAACATCATATATGTTTCTTTTTGTATAATCTGTTACAATTTCACTTTATTGGCAGACTTGCTATCTGTAATCTTGGGAGAAAAGCTTGGGAAATTCTGAGATCAGCTCTACAATCAGCAATCTCCTCATTGAAAGAGCTGTACCTCAGTAATCAGGAGTGGAGCAGATCTGACCTAATCTGGGAGTTCCAGCAGTTAACAGCATAATGACTGAATGCTGCCTCATCTTCTTTGGTTCAAATTCAGGGCACTACTAACTGACTGGTCCTGAGTGATCCGAAAGGCCTATTGCATTTGTATACTTCAAGAAGTTCAGCAGAGTATTTTGGTCCAATGCCATTCAGAGCTTTAACTACAATAAGAAGCACATTAATGTCAATACTGTTGTTAATTCATAGCTAGTGCAGTGCCTTGAGGGTTGGAGTAATGTGCCTGCATCTCTTCATTCCTGGTAGAGGTAAATATATGAATTAGTTGCATTTATCTCCAGGGGTAGCTTATTTACAAAAGGTACCCCACTAGTGACAGCATTCAAAGATGGAGACAAAAGAAATCCCAGAGCAAGGTCAAAGCTTTTGTAAAATAGCATCTTTGACAAACTTCAAAATCCTGTTGGTATAAACTTTCCTGAATGATCTACAATGCAGGCCCAGGTCTCTGGTATTTCTGGACAAACTTCCAACCTGTGGCAGTGCTGGAGAGCCCTCTTACATCTACTACCTGCAAAAATGATGAAGAAAATAGGGTCTCTAAATGCTATACACATGATACCCTATATCTTGAATCTTTTTCCATGCAAATTACAAAGAAGACTTGAGATCTGATCTTGAGTCTGTTTTTTGTGAGTGTACTCTTCAAACTTATTCAGGAGCTCAGTTTGAAAGCAGTGTAGTCAATTATTTTCAGTTCATAAACTGTCATGGATGGAATACTTTTACTTTTCTAAAATATATTTAGCAAAGGAACCAATATACTTTTGTTGAAAACAATCAAATGTAAAGGAAAAAACAAGAATGAAAGTGAAAATAGATGAAATATGAAATAATCAATCCAGGAACTAAATCAAGTCAAATTTATTTATATAGCACTTCCTACAATAGATGTTAAAGAAATTCTGAGAGGAGCCAAGACTCAAAATGGGAACCCATCTTCCACACCAGAAAGCCAAACAATAACACAAAAGCAATTTGAACAGAAATTTATATTCATTAAAATTGTGAATATGGGAAAAACAGAATAAAGTAACTAACCTGTTTTTGCATAGATCTATTCAAATTAATCTCATGACTGTTAATATGAAATTGTGAAAGGCTAAAGAGTATTGTGAGGCAGGGGAAGCAATGTATATGATCAAATAATTTAAGTCTGTGCAAGTAGCAATATCTTCAGGAGGGGGAGTGGTATGAAGGTGAGGCATTCTGCACAGCATTGAACAGAAGGAAGCTCCATGGTGGTCAAACTGGTCCAGAGGGTGGATGAACAGAGGATACCCAATCGAGGCAGATTGAGCAACAGTGTCAGACTGCACAGGATAGGCAGTTGTTCAGCTCAGCAAAGAACATGCAGACAGTTAGTTCTGTTAAGAGAGACTGATTACAGTATACAGTGTTAACAGAATGCAGCAGTGACTTCAACAGGTCTAGCTTTTTGAGCACTCCCTGAGATACCAGCACCCTCTGCTCTACCATCAAAAAAGTTGAGTGAACATGAGAGGAGCAGGACAACAGCACCAACGTTTTCTTCTTACCATAATAGTCTATGACCACAAACCCCCAGATCTGCACATTTTATCAAATGGGCAAAACTAATTAACAAATGCATGAATAAACAGTAGAGTAGAGTAGGTTTTAGCTTAGATTTAAAGACTGATGCTGTGTCTGAGTCCTGAACACTGACTGGAAGGTTATCCCAAAGCTTTACCCCTGATGTAACTATTAATAGTATGCTAGCGCCTTGTGATCTAAGTGGGTGAGATGGTGCATAATAAGACCTAGGTTCAGGCAGGTAGTAAGGCTGTTTATAGCTTTATATGTCAGTAATGTTTTTTTTTTATACTTTTTGCACATGTGCAAGGCTGATGCACTTTTTTGTGTTTGCTCACTTACTGTTTGATATATTTTACTTTTTTATCTTGTTATTAATCTTTCACATTACTTTCTTCTACTGAATATGTATCTTGTAATATGTAACTTATTTCTGCACCCTTATAACATTGTTCTTTTGTTTGTGTTTTCAGTTTTTTAACTAACCTTAAATCCTTTCTTTGGACCATGAGAAAATGGCTGGTGCCACTGAATGCGATCTCTAGATGCTGAGCAGAAAGCTGCAGCAGTTGGAACAGCAGTTCAGGACTCTCCTGAAGCAGCAGACTGAGCTCCACAATCTAAAAACCCGTATTGCCCATTTTTATGCCTGCACCGGAGAAGGGCTGGGAAGCCAGTGTGGCCAGGGAAAGAGAAAGTCTTTACCAATCCTTTCTCTGCTGGATTTTCCGTCCAGTAACTGGTTCAAAGCTCTCTGCCTGCTTCAGTGCATCGAACAGAGACTCAGGAGAGTGTTCTTATAATTGGAATCTCTGTATTAAAACATCCAAATGTAGATGCCTCTAGAAGTAACTTGCTCCAATATTGTCATTAGCATTATTAAACCCCATACAATTAATAAATTAAAGGAAAACATGTGTGGTCAAAACTTCAATAATTTAATTCGTATACCCCTTAAAAAGACCCGTCCCACCCAAACACATAGTGTAGAGAGCAGAAAATTAAACCTTGCTTTACTCAATAACTCAGTACTCACTAAATAACAAAACACTTCTGATTCAAGATCTTATTAAAGAGCATAAGCTTGATTTTATGTTTCTGTCAGAAACGTGGCTCAGTGATAACAGCGCAGCAACTCTACTTGAAGCTGCTCCTGAAAACTACAGATTTATGCATGCAGTAAGACAGGGCAGACGAGGAGGAGGAGTGGCATGATTCAGTTCTACTACAGGTATATTAGGATTTTTTTAAAGGTCAGATCTCAATCTATAATAATGCTATGAAAATATCCAGACAGTCATACCTCTCTAGTTAATAGACACAAAGATAATACCAAAATCCTTTTCTCCACCATAAACTGACTAATTAACCCCAGCTTTTCTGCTAGTACATCTCATGATGATTTATGTTCTAAACGAAGAATTCGCAATTCATTTTCAAAATAAAATAGACCTGATATAAACTGTTGTAAACAAGCTAAATTTGTGCACATGTGATCTTGACCCTGTTCCTAGTTTTTGATTGTGTTCACAATGACGTTTTATCTATTGTAAATTGTTCTCTGTCAGCTGGTGTTTTTCCAGATGCTTTTAAAACTGCCTTGATGAAGCCTCTGCTAAAAAAAGAGTAGCATAGATTGTTCTGTAGTAAATCATTTTAGACCAATTTCAAACCCACCTTTTTTAAATAATGTCTTAGAAAAAATGTTTTCAAACAATTAAATGTGTGTCTAATAGCAAACAAATTATATGAGAAGTTACAGTCAGGTTTTGGTTCTAACCATAGTACAGAGACAGCATTGACTTGCGTTATGAATGACCTCAGGCTCAACCCTAATGCACAAAATCCTTCTATTCTGGTTTTATTAAATCTTAGTGCAGCCTTGATACTGTTGCCCACAAGATTTTAATCCAGCGTCTTGAATACT